TTCCTGTTAGTATTTCACTTTCGAGTAGTTAGTTGGAATGTCCTTCATTACAACGTCTACTTTTTAATAGAACGGCTCTTTATAAGAATGGAACTCAATTTTTTCTGTTTCACGAATTTTCTAAACTTCATATAATCACTTATGAAGTAAATGAAATTTTAATAGCTCTTTTCTTGTTAGTGTGAATCTCCTTTAACTTCTTTTTAATATCATTTAACAAAAGTTTTGAAATACTTGCATTATGCACTATAAATGGGGAATTTAATAATTGGATCGTTTTCAGTCTTCATTATTTCTAATTTCTAGAAGCTTATACCTATTGAAACAGAATATGTAACCTGATATATCTCTTCTGCAGCGTGACCTCTTCGTTTATCTCACTACCCATGTTTCCTGCGTACTTGGGAGCTCGTTGTGGCAGATTGTTGTTTGTGGTCTGTTGCAGATGCGCTTTGAGCATATGATATTGAGTTAGAAGTTGAAGAGTTAGCATTTCCACCATTTGTTGCTATGTGGTGTTTGTAGTTGTTGCTGGGAGAAGTTCTTGCTGTTTGAAGTATGCTTATCTGTGATGGGTTGCACCGGTTCACTGATAAGCGCGTTTATCACACCATTTTCACTATAGTAGCGTCCATTGCACTTCGAATTAGTTCCCCGTAACGGACAACTATTTGTGGCCATTCACTGGGTTTAAAAAAAGATTTTGTTGGCTTTTATCTTACAACTAAAATAACACTTTTTTTTTGAACTGAGCACTGTTCGCAACGCGCTCACACGAACGACACTGCACTGAGTGTTATCGCACTGATCGCTGCGGGTTACCACTGTCACTGGAGAGACCTACCTCGGGCACAAGCGTTCGCCTCGGCGGCTCGGAACGCACTGAGTCACATCCTACCCTAACAAATAAAAGGTAAAGGTACCCCTTTGCAAATGCTCACTGGCCCAAGGCGCTGGACATAGGGTTCCATTTCTTTTGCCGTCGGCACAAGGAGGTAGTGTGGCAAGCACAACGCTTTGACTGCCTTTTTTCTTATTTTTTTTTTTTGTTCTTGCTTGTTTTTTCTGTTTTTCGACCCACTCACTATTTTACCCGAGTTCGCGGCTTTAAACCCGATAGAAGTCAACGATTTTTTAGAGCGAATAAATCCTTCGTATACCTTTCTTCGGAGGGGACTTAAAGCCGACTGCCCATGTTGAAAATTTACTGCCCCTCAAGCCTAAATCAAGCTTCTGAGCAAAATTTAAATCTCTTGTTTCGTCACCCAAGATACCTCCTTTCTCTGCCAGATGGTGAAAGGAGCACAGCGGAATTTGCGTGGTCAGGCGGAAGAGAAGGCCTGATATAGTGCAGGTCTCCTTTAGTAGCCCTTGCAACTCTCGTCTTCGGTGCCGTGTTGCCTTCGCGGTGTCGAGACTGTTACGGAGAGATGTGGGACTGAGGGGGTGGGAATAAGAGATACAGGCGTACCTACAGCATTCCAAGGTCTTGACACGAAGGACACATAAACAATCATCAATAACAACGATCAAGGTGAGAGATCTTTCCACCGATTCATCAGAATTGAACTTTTATTCTACTAATTGAAATTCTAAAGCACCTATTTATATAGCTACAAAACAACAGTCAGGTCGTTAGCCCTTGCATACAAGACTGCAGTTGTGTATTGTTATCGATGAGGATACACGGAGTATATGTGTAAATAATTAACGTACATATCTTTTTGTTTCTTTACATTTATCTATGTCTCATTTGATTTTTGTTTTTCATTTACAAAACAATTATTTTCTTTCAAAACTACATCAGAGTTCTTTTTTTTATTCTTTGCTACATTGATGTACTAAGAGAAGTTAATAAACAGTAAATAATAATGATAATAATAATAATAATATTAATAATAGAAAATTTATATCTGCATATGATGAATTATCTCGATATATTACAGTGAAAAACTTCAACTATTCATTCTATATTCTTGTACCTGTAATGTTTTATGATGATGATTTGTTCCTGCAAACATTAAATATCGAGCTCGATTCTTGGTACGTTTGAAATTTATAAATATCTCCTTAAGTCTGTCAATTTTTATATAGTTCTTTCCAATAATTGACGCTTTAGAATGACAATCAGTGTAAGAAAAGTTCAGTTCTGATAAATAAATAGGAAAATCTCTCATTCCGATCGTTAATCTCGCCTTTGTTCCTGTCTCCTTCGTGTTAAGATAATGGATTGTTGTTAATGCGCCTGTATCCCTGACTTTCACTCCTTTCAGTCCTAACTCTGACCGTAACATTCTCGGCGCCGTGAGGGCCGCCTACCCTAAACAAGACAGTTGCATTAACTACTAAAGAAAATAAGGTCTGATTAATTTAAAATCAAATGTGAGAAAGTATAATTTTATGTTAAACAGATAAAAATAGTAGGTAGTACTATCTGACCCCTAAATAACCTATAAAGTTAATGAATGTGTATCATACAAACGCCGTACAATAATAAGAGGTGCGTGCAAGCTGTATGGTCCCACAAACTATTTTTTAACTTAATATTATAAGAGCTATTGAAATGCACATTCAAAATTGTAATAATTTTTATATGCAGAATTCTAGAGATTTTGGAAAATGAATAAGAATTATATTACTTCGAATTATCCAAGTGTGAGTTGTCAACAATTATGTCCGTTTCATTACACACTTTAGTTTTCACTTTCTTTCAAATTCCATGATCAATTCCATGATTCCACGAATTGTATTTCTTGTTCAGTACTATTCATCTCTATTAATAAAACAAATAATACATTCAAAACTTATGGTACACTTATTACTTACCGAAACACACTAAATGGATGTATAGTTGATGAACTAATTTTCGAGTGGCGGAGAATCTCGCGGCACAAGGCCGATGTGCTTTTGAAGACGTACTGCGTGAACGGGTGCTTTTTCGAAGCCAGCCACGTGCGTCTGAAGGCTCGTAGCGAGCGTTTCGGGCGGGAGACATACATATTTCCGTAAACAGCATCCAACACTTCATCTTCGACGCATCGTATGTCCAGAGAACACTCGTGGCCTTCCACCTCGTCTACCTGAGTCTGCAGAGCAATTCGGGCTGTCTAGCTATCGTTTTCTATTCATTATCAGAATAAATAATACTGCATTGGTACAATCGAATAGTACCGCCAGTACACAAGTACACAGGTAAAAATTATAGTATTTGTTTTCTCAATTATTTCGAACATTAGTTTTAGGCCAAGCAATACTACAAACAGAAATGGTCAGAGGCAAAAAGTGAAAACACCCTGATATTTTTTCTCAAATATACATGCCAAGGAAAGAATATAAATGTCAGGGAAGGGCACACACAAAATTGCAACCGCCTACAGGGACTACTTCTTAAAAATATTATAGACGACGAACTGTCTTTATGGCGTAATCGCTGAAAGTTTGGATACTAGTAAACGTAAAAGTAGCAGTGATTTGACCTCGCTCACCTGGAACTCTTATCGCTTAATCCTGGCGTGGGTCAGTCACAGGCAAGGTAACTAGCTCGTAATTTTCCGGCATTGAATTTAGAGCAACGGACTCGAGGTTTAAAAGTAAAGTTTGTACAAACTGCTTCGATGGTACATCTGTCCCTTAACAGCCTTTTGGAAAAGGTAGTTGACCATTATTAATCATAATTTTGCGTTATTCATTCCAATTTATTATACTAAAGCAAAGAAATTATTCACTTGTTTGAAATACATCTCTTAATTTTAACTTGTAAGTAAAATTAAATAATTTGAATCGGAAGGATCTTAACATATTAAAGGCGTTTACTTAAAATTGCAATAATTGCATTAACTTCCTAGATAAATGTAAAAACAAAAAACCATTGTATTGTCTGTCAAGAGTTGTCCGCTTGTAATAATAAATTTGTAATTTTTTAAGGATAACCGAGTTTTCGTAAAGTTAACCTCAACACGTGATTGCGTCAATTGGGATAGAAAGAAAAATAAACTTTGTGGTGATATCTTGGTGATCCGGGTATTGTGTCCCTTCAATGATTGTGTGGTGGATTGAGTAGTTAGGCATTGCACCTTTGTTCTTGTGGGCGGACATACTGAGATTATTAGAATGCCACTGAGACTAACTGAGGCTGAGTGTGATTATTAAGGCGACAAACTTTTTTCCAATGAAAAGTAGGACGAAAAATATAAAGAAAAAATTACAACGTAAATAAATGAAATATTTTTTGTAATTCAAACGAAAATACACTAATTATACTTAATTATCCCTTTTAATTATTTAATTAAGCCAGTATTATTCCATTAAATGAGTTTTTTGCCAATATATAACTTTCTAACAATACATTGGAAATTTCGGAGCTAATAATATCCTTAATATTTGATTTTATGATAAGAACTGCAGATAGAATATCAACATTCAATCATGATTTCTCTCTTGATTAACTAGACTAACACATTGACACTAAATTAACACATTAGTTTTAAAATATAGATAAAAAGGACAGGTAGGAAGAGACTTTTTGAGGAAGGACAGAACCTACAAAAGAAGGACTGTCTTCCCTAAAGGACGACGATTGGTCACTTTAAATGTATGCAAATCTTCAATAGATTTAAGTACAAATAAATATGCAATTTTTGATAGTTGTTATTGCAAAGTGCACTACGAGTACCATGTCTCCAACGGACCAGAGAAGTCTTCAATTGAAAAGTAATAGAAAATTGAAATATTTATGTAAGAAATGTTGTGACGGCCTTAAAAGTGTTCCTATTTTATTGAAAAGACATGTAATACTGAAAAATAAAGAAAAATTGGATGTATTTGCCTAATCAATAAATGCATTTAAAGAAATTGTGAATAACGAATTGAATAATTTTAAAGATACAGTAGGTTATTTAGAAAGAAAAACACAAGAAAGATTATTAGTACATACAAACAATATTATGAGTGAAACTCATGAAAGACAATTAAAATGTAAATACATTGTGTTTTATTATATTAGAGAGTCGAATAGTGGTGTTTTGAGTAATAGAATAAATTACGACAAAGCGTCAATTGATAAAATTGTAGTAAAACTTAGTGAACCTAGTAGGTTGGTGATAATACCCGCTAATGTTGTAAGTAAACCAAGACCATCCAGAGTAACGTTTGGAAATGTGGAAACTGTTCAAAAAATTTTAAAAAGAAAAACGTATTTAAAAATGAAGTCAATTATCAAGATTGTTGCACTAAAATTCAGATTAATCATTATAATCAATTAAAATTGGAAATAAATAATGGAGAAAATAAAAGTAAAAAGTATATAAAATATATAAATGGATTTACTGTCATTAAAGGCATAATTGAAAAAATGCAGAGAATAATTTTGAGGCATCAAAAAACTGAACAATCAACTTGGCATATATTACCACAATGTGAGGGGGTCTTAGATCAAAACTAGAGGAACTCGCTCATTTCAAGATACAACTACGGGAATCAGGTGTTCATGTTTTTACAGAGACCTGGTTGCGTAATGGAATATACGTCAATGAATTAATCGTGCAGTTGTAACATCTATAGGAGGGATAGAGATTATGAATTAATTTTTTTTATTTTTGCAGAAGTTCATAGCTCAGTAAATATAACCATACATATGTGTTAAAAGACTTACTTACTATACTTAAATGTAAACTTACATATTATTACAAGGAATTATCGTTAAGGAGTCCTCAGTCAGGATCTAAATCTGCAAATGTTTTGTGGTAGAAAAACGTCGACTACGACGAATATTCATGACGACACGTCTACCAGATGACAAAAGAAAATATAACACTACAACCAGACAATTCACGCGTCAAATTAAGGAATACGAAAACAAATCATTCTCTAATTACATTCAAGCACTATCACCTACTACTGAAACTAATTATTCGCTTTGGAAAGCAACACGAAAACTGAAACGACCTCACCAGCATATCGCACCAATTCGAAAAGAAGATGGCATGTAGGCAAGAAGCGCAGAAGAAAAGTTCGATTGCTTAGCAAAACACTTTGCAACAGTTTTCAAACAAGCAGGAAATGCAAGTACAATTGAAAATAAAGTGCTAAAGCTTTTGGACATGCCTTTACAGTTATCACTGCCCGTAAAGAATTTCAACTCACGGGAAGTCGAACAAACAATTAAAAAACACACGCATCCTACAAAAAGTCCAGGGTTTGACCTTATTACTGGTAAGAATTTACAGGAAATGCCAAGAAAAGGATATGCATTCGTCACAAGTATATTCAACGCGATACTTCGAAGTAGTCTTTAGCCTTGTCAATGGAAATACGCTCAAATAATTGTGATCTTAAAACCAGGAAAGACTGCCACGGAAGTGACGTCGTACGGACTGATTAGTCTGTTACCTGACCTATCAAAAGTATTTGAAAAACTTCTCTTACAGCGTCTCAAGCCTATAATTAAAGATGTGATTCCTGACTTTAAATACGGCTTTCGCGAAGGGCACCCTTCGTGGCCGCATAGAGGTGTCATTAAATTAGAAGCATCACAGAAACGTTACAAATGGTTACCCAGCGTGGAGAATGATAAAATAAGTTTAATAGTTGATGAATTGGAAAGGTTTAATTACGTTCCTAATTGGCACGCCCATCACGAGGCAAGTTCATAATTCTTACAATACCCGCATATCCAGATAATGAGCGCATCAATAATGAAATATTTTTGGGATTTAAAACAACTCTTTCATTGCCTAGACTTTTGCTCAAACTTTTGAGCTTCACGTTCTGTCTCATGCACATTCCGGTACGAAAAGCAGGCCATGTTGCGACCTGTCGCCTCTGACAATTCAATTGCAAGTGCACTTCCATGAAATTATTTCCTGCAACGTGGTTGCTGACTTAATGTAAAATTTCTACAAGCCACGGAAGTTCGTTCAGATATTGACAAACAGATTGAGATCCACAAACGTTTCTGCCAAAAACAATTAAAAATTCTTAAGACTTTGAAATGCGCTCCAGCCTTAAAGAACGCTACGAGAGGTCAAAACATTAGCTAATCTGTCCTCACTGGTGTCATCCAAGAGCAGACACATAAGTGTTACCTATTCATAGTCGATAAATAACATGATTTCAAAAATTCAATAAGTAAAATGTGCATGAGAGGTGTTAATGAAGCGGTTACTTTAGTGTTAAGTGCATAAATATATCCATTGAATCTAAAAATGTAATGCAAATCTGCAATTTTATTTCTTACATTTAAAAAAAAGTCTAACAAAAAAGTCACCATTGGCGAAAACCAGTGGAATACACTCGTGTCTAGAAGAACACGATGCATTTTAATCACCTATTTAATTTGAACAACACCAATGATATAGACGAAAAATAAATTGAAGGGAAAATAAATAATCTACAATGACGTTTGACAATAATTATATTGATCGAGTCCACAAATGTTCATGTTTATAGAACAAATTGATTTGCTTTTTCTAAATTTCAGATGCATACGCCGCTTGAGCATCAGACCATAATAGGTATATTACGATAAATCTGATATCAATTCTTCGTAAAAACAATTTAAACATGAAAATCGAGTAACTCAGTAAATTAATCGCAAAGTGTGTATTTTTCCTATACCACAATAATAAAGAAATTCATAAACTCACGGCGAATCCTAATTCCATTACACGTCAACTTGTAAGGAATTTCTTCTAAATAATTCTTAATTTCACTCTGTTACTCTTCAAGCTGCATGAAAGTACTGTAAACGATGTGTAAACAATAACAAAAGAGCTACGGCAATGATGTATATTACATGTTCACTTAAAGCCGACGGCAAAAAAAAAAGATCTGCTATTGTTTACAAGATTTTTCCGTCTAAAATTGAGACCCTGGCATCAATAACGGAAGGAACAATGTAACGTTGTTTTAATAATCTTATTTTAAAGGTTCTTCCTATTACGTAGTAGTGTGTAATATCCTGAAATTGACGATTATTATTATTATTATTATTATTATTAATTCTATTTATCTTCACCCTGATTTACTATTGTGTTGTTTCTTCATTTCAATGTTTACTGTTTCCTACTCATTTCACCAAAGTCCTTGGATGTGAGAATCTAGAAGGCGGTGGCCTTATGAAAACAAATAACAGCACTCTCATTAACTCATTAACATAAGAAAGAGCATTTTACTATTAATTTGTACAGAAGTTGATCAATGAAATTTTCAGATTCAAAATAGCGGCTTAATCACGTTGTGGAACCTTAAACCGGCCCTGTGAATAACAAACAACTACATATACATTTTAAGGAGATAAATTTCGATAAATTTATGTTTAGTATATTTATTCATTCTATTATGATCTTTGAATTAAAGAAATGATAATGGGATAATTATTTTCTTAAATCTTGATCGCAAGCCGTTCATTGGACTAGAAGACGCTGTATAGATCGTGCTATCAACTTAAATTAAAATCTACCGCGCAAATAACAATTCCTGCACTTTGTGCTTATGCTCCACGTGGGGCAGTCAGGTGGCGCAGTGCGCAGAGGGGCGCAACGGCACGAAGCGCAGCCACACGGGTTGCGACAGGCGCAGACCGAAGGCGCGCGGGTCGAACTGCAGTGCCCGCGGGGTTTCTGCGCACGTCTGCACCTCGAAGTCCAGCAGGATGCGCGCCAGCACCATCTTCATCTGCAGCAACGCGAAGCGCTCGCCTGGGGGAAGGACAAATATTACTAACAACGTCACTTCATATCCACACCTCGCCCAAGAGTATCATTTCATTTCAAATCTGGCAGAATGGGGCATGACGTCATTGTACCGGACACACCTAGAGCCGGTTCCACTCAATTCCGGTTGGAGCTCACAATCACATAGAAAATCTTCCTCTCATTGTTAATCGAACTCCATGACAGCGACAGCTGTGCGAGAAACAATGTCGAATGTAAGATCATCTGAAGTCATCAGATAACGCTATACATATTTTACTATACTTGGCAAAAGTCAGTATTGCTCGCACAAGTTTTCTTGATTCTCGAGATCTCTAGTTCTCACTCAGTGCTGAATATCTTGGTCCGTTGAGATACTTAGGATCGATTCGAAACGGCATGTACCAATTAGCGATGCTGGCAGCAACCACCTCGAACTTTCAAAACAACCTAGCATTTCTAGTGGCACGTTTTTGGGCGTTAATTTCATGCCTAGAATTGGAATTACTCACAAAATGTTTCTCGACCGATGGATTGAAGAAATGCGAGTGGAGTGGGGGTATTAGTTCCAACATCGTCCACGAGACTTTATGCAATGCCAACCTCTGGAGAATCAATCATGCCTTCGCAACTTTCTCAGTAATTTGTCTTCTAACTTTCTTAGGAGTTAGAGATATTTCCTGTGGTGCATCTTCACCTGTTTCGGTCACTTCTTTAGATTTTTTGGAGAAAATCACGGGAGTTTCTATTTTGTAGTAAATATGTGTTTGGAATATCCTTAGAGTTCGCAGCGAACATTCGCGTCCACGAGTTTATTGTGGCAGAAAGGGGGGAAGTAAGTTCATCGATCAAGAAAAGTTGCGCGATTAATACGCCATTTAAGCCGTGACATAGCCATACCCTTCCTTACCCGCACCCCTCGCGGTGGAATGTCAAGAAAACTTGCGCTTATAGTGCGTAGAGTGAAAACCGCTGAATACTGGCTGAAACTGCCAATACTGGCTGATTTCACAACATCTGACATCTGATTTCAGCGCAAAATGTGCATAGATGCAGTTGATTGGAGGACAAAAAGGGAGCCATTCCATTTTTCGGACATGAGCAAGATACTAGACACCAGAAACATAAAATCGGCTTCGCCTTACAACTTCAGGCGTACATGGGTTTTGTACTAGCAGAATAGAACTGTTGTCTTCTAAAATTTAACTTCCCTCACCTATGCAGAATCGTGGGCCGGCGCCGAAGGGCATGTAGGTGTAGGGCTTGATGAGGCCCTTCTCCGCCGGAGAGAAGCGCTCGGGTCGGAAGAGCTCCGGCTCCGGGAAGTACAGCGGGTCGTGGTGCATCGCGAAGATGCTGACGAACACCATGGTGCCCGCCTGCAGCTCCACGTCGCTGTCGGGGAAGCGGTACTTCTTCGTGCACTCACGGAACAGCTGGCCTGTCACAGGATACATGCGCAGAGTCTCTGAAAGAAAGAATGAATTGAACGACAAATATTAATACTTGTTTCCGGGCGCATCAATTGCCATGATCATTACTTCCGTAAGTGTAGTCCGGGATTTTATTGTAGGAGGCGGAAGTGTTTCTTTTCTGCTGGATGGAGGTCTGGCACCGACATATATGTCGGCTTGCCGGATTTTCCCTAGTCAGGTATCTCCCACCAGCTCGACATCTCCCCGCCCGGGACAATTTCTTTACTAATCTCCACACACAAGTGTGTGTGATGTGTGTGCGTGTGTGAAAGTAAAGGGTGAGGACAGGATAAAGGAGAGGAAGGAAAGATTGCGCAAGTCCGTGGTCTGTTTGTTACAGTACTAATCCGACGTTCAGAGCAGCGGGTCGTGAAAGTTCTCCTTCAGACAAAATGCCTCAAACACAAATTGGATCAAAGATATCAGAGCATACGTAAAAAAATAAATAAGAAAGAAATTGAAAACAATTTCCTCTAGGAAAGCTAAACATGTTTGTGGTTTTCGAAAAAGTAAACATTACGTCGCAATGAATATTTCGTACCAACCTTCCCCCCAGAGCTGAGAAGCAAGTTGACTCACCCGCCATGACCATGTCTATGTACGTCATCTCCTGCAGTGCATCGTAGGTGAGGTCGTCGTCGCCGCCCCCGTCCCCGTCCCCGTCCCCGCCAGCCGCCTCCCGCGCCGCCCGGACGCCGCGCCGGATGTCGTCCCTGGCCTTGCGCTGCAGGTCGGGCCGCTTGGCCAGCTCGTACAGGCAGAAGGTGGCCGTGCTGGACGGCGAGTCGAAGCCCGCCAGGAAGAACACAAACGCTTGGGCGGCCAATGTGGCGTCTGATATATCTATAATTAAGGAAATCTCAAATGATAATCATTCTAAATTACTGTAGAGAGATGACGGAAAAATAAACCTTCAAGCGGTACCTTCATACTTTATCTGCGGGGTGTATTGGAAGCATCTCTATACCACTTACCCACAATCGTCTCTCGCCCGGCTTTTTCCCAGTCCCGACGATTGCGGAATTACGACATTCGCCTAGCAGCCGGCCGCTAGAATTCTCCTCCCAACAGCGACAGAATTTGACCTAGCTGACAGGTCACTGATCTTTTTTTACCATACTGAAAAAATGCTGCTACAATCGAGACTCGAACCTAGGATTTACCGGTCAGAGGCATTGCCATGACATCTGTTGATACCCTGAGCCACCTCTCCCACTGCGCTTTCGCGTGATATCATCTATCAATTTTAGGCAAATGTCAGAGGAGTACTAGTTGGGGCACTGACGGAGCACGATTTTTCTCTACTCATCCTCATTCTCTCATCTTCCTTTCAACACTTTTACATTTACATGCAATACACTACCACATAAGTCGGGAGTTTAGAACTTGTCCCGATTGGAGCATTGATCCACTAGCAGAGATACATTGAGAGTAAAACCTCCTGAAAGTCGACATGTCAATCAACCACCATTTAATAAAATGTCAATAATCAATCGGCCAAACTGAACCTTTTCTCCAACTGTCGGCGAATCGTTGAAACTGGGTGGAAAACCATACGGCATTTCAACATTTTTTTCCGATTACTTTTTACTCATCCATTTGCTTCTGAGTTGGAAGTAATACTGAATTATAATGATTAAATTAAATTGCTATTGTTAAAATCTTGAAATTGCAGAACCTGTTAATATGTTCTGAGTATTTCGTTTCGCATTTGTTTGTTTATACAACCATTTTGCCGATACTTGCACCCTCCGCCGTCACAAGTTGGTAACACTTCCATCACGGAAACATGCCCTAAACGTTTCAGAACCCGAACAATTTGGAGGAATATCATATTCGATACCTTTATTCACGCTGTCTGAAATGGATAACTTTCCGAAATAAAAAATAGTATAGTGTTTGTTTTGTATCTTTCATTTATAATTTAGTTTAGATTCTACATAGTGCCTCATATAAATAACTTTGGTACATAAGTTTTGTTTCTAAATTATATTAGAATAACAATTGTTTAAATTGTCCTATAGATGTTAATTGTATTAAAAAAGCTATTTCATTTATTTTCCGTAACCAATATTACCGTTATTTTTAACTATATTAATTCGGGTGATCAAATGCTTGATACAACCATTACATTGTTAATTGCAAACGACGAAAGTAATCACTGTCACTCACCAATATCCTGAAGAATGATGTCACTTTTATTCAAATTCTTAGATTTGGTAACTTGTTTTCGCACATCATCTTGCTCTCTTGCAATCTGTAGAGAAAACAAGAACTTGAAAAATTCCTCCATAAAGAATATTTGTTAACATGTAACTGTATCACTTAGTGTTCAATGTTTGTGAACAGTTTACGTAAGGGGGAAGCATAAATCTTGGGAATATTATTGTATTAATACTTAGGGTAACAAAAAAGATTTTTTTAGAACGACTGCATACGCAAAAAAACTACATTAAAAAGCGACCGATTCGATATAAAATGCAGTGCTCACATCCCAAGCTGTCATATCTCATGTGTACAATTAGGTAGTTTTCACAGCACGCTATTCGGTTTCGAAGTTTGAACGGGTTAGAAGTGGGGTACGTTTGTGGAGGAAGTTCATGAGGACCAAAAACACAGGTTAATCCAATTTTTTTTTTAATTTTAACATTTTTAATGAAATTTAAAAAAAAAATTGTAGAACCATCATGTATAACACCCCCTACATACACAAACCAAAAAAAATTCGTTTCAATATCGCAAGATCATGTTCGTTTAGATCGAGTGGGAAATATCGTATTTTCTAGAAAAACGCCTGGATTCTTTAGGTGCTAACTTTGATTACTGGTGGATGAATAGACGTTTTAGTGCCAACCGATTTTGTGGTATCAAAGACAAGAAATAAGGATTCTAACTCCTCCACGTGTTAGAGGAAGTAATTTCCAGCATGTAACAAAAATATTTATCCACGTTTTCCTTACCAGACGCCGGCAATAAGAGTCGAAAATTCGCCGTTTTCCGTCGACAAACTACAATATTTTATCTTCTTGCCAAAAAAGGTACGAAACTAAAAATTAACCTGTATGAGGAATGAATTAAAGTGTTCGTAGTTATATTTCCCCTTATGTAATTAACTATTTTTGAAGAAATTATGAATAGAAAATACACAATTTAAAAAAGACGATATTATCACAGAATATAATGCATCAATATATGACTGCGCTCATACAAGACGGAGAGTTATAATCGCCTCATATAGGAAGATACCTTTGCGTTTCGCATGTCCTTCCGGATTTCGAGCAGCAGCTGCATGAAGTCCGCGCGCGGCGGCCCGTCCCGCTCCTCGCGCTCGCGGCGGTCCAGCTCGGCCACGACGGCGCCGCAGAAGAAGGCGGTGAGCTGCGGCGGGAACTGGCGCACGCTGAACAGGCGCGCCACGCGCGGCGCCAGCAGGCGCAGCGCACGCCGCAGCGCCATCCCCACGCTGATGCCCGTCACGCGGCGGCCCAGGGCGTGGAAGCGCGACGCGGGGTCGCCCAGCGCCGCGAGCTGCAGCCCGTACACGCACGTGCCGATCACGTCCGTCGTGTACCTTCGCACAACACACTAGCTGCAGCCCGTACACGCACGTGCCGATCACGTCCGTCGTGTACCTGCGCACAGCACACTAGCTGCAGCCCGTACACGCACGTGCCGATCACGATCGGCTAGCACATACGAAGAGCACACTCTTCCACTTGCTCTACATGAATAGGTACCTCTCTATATGAATGAAAAAATTATATATTTTTTCAACTAATATTTATTACAACGAATTTGGACCGGATTTTGCCATACAGCGGGGGAAGAACATTTCCACCTCCCGAGGGAAAACATGTACTATACTTACGGAGCTAATTACCTTAGATGCTGACGCCCGTACCATGAAAGAACTGTGCTCAAGAAGAGAAAGGCGCACCTGGTCATGACTTCTCCTGTGTCGGTGGCGCCTGGGGCGCTGGCCACGATGAGGCGCGACGCGTGAGAGGCGAGGCTTCGGAGCGTCGGCACAGTCGCACGCAAGCGGCCAGTGCTGGTGAAGAGCCTCAGTCGCGTGCGGAGATACTGCCACGGAGCGCCCTGGGTACGCGACACAAGCAATGCTATGCTGTAAACGAGCTGAAGTTGAGTGGAATTACCTTTCCAGCACAAACCTTAATAGCGCAGACTGCTGCAGCTACAACCGATGGGTCGAGGGGTGTGGGTTTCAAATACTTCTGAGGAAATGATTACTACTTTAAAATTTAATTACTACATTTAGCTTACATTTCTTCAAAGTGTTACAATGATTTCAAATCATGCATCATGTCTGAGTTTGTAAAATTTCAACGAAATATTTAACAAAATTTAATTCACTTCATCAACAATTCCTTACTATCAACTTTTTCTTTCGGTTTCAAAAACTAATCAGGATTATTTTTAAAAATAAAATAAATTAAAATTATTTAAAACTTCAAGGAGGCCCTTAATGAACGATCATTACACTGAGTATAAAGATCTGCGGTACGCGATTTTGTAAACTCGTCTCTTGCTCGAGTCTTTAAATCCGGTTGAGGCGGCTCAGGGCATCAACCGACGTTGCTGCAGTGCCTCTGACGCGAATTGTCCTGGAAGTAGAAATCCACATTGCCCTTATCGAGAACGAATTATACCGCTCTAGGCTTCTTATCGGGGTGCACCGCGGGCAAACGGCAACGATGGACAATGCATGCTGGTGGCCGGCCTCTCTACATTGTTTATTGCTCAGGCGTGTCTATTAGACACCTTAAACGCATTCTTTTTCCCCACTTTCAATGGAAGCGGTAATTAAATGATTTATAAAAACTCATGTATGCCATCCTCTACTACGAAATCTGAAATTAAAATCGCTCACATTAGGGACCCTGCATATCTATGAAATAAAGACGATGCACGGAAGAGATGTCTTTTTTATCGTATACGTACGTATATATGGAATAATATACGTAGTATAGAGAAAGTTATGTAATGATGCGGCCAAAAATGTCAACTTTTGGACATAAAAACACGCATTATGTAGCCTTGATACAGAAAAACGAATAAATCGTGTTCCAAACTGTAGTAAACTACAACTCTAACACATTGTACACATTGTGTACAATACACGATACACGGGTCCTTGATACCGAAGAATTGGTTTACGCTAAAACGTCCGTCCGTCTGTACACAACGCTAACATCTAACCTATTCGTACTATTTTTTTTTTTTTTTCAAAATGAATATTCCCCGGCCGATCTGACATTTGAAAATTGAAGATAGAGATTTTTACCATAAATAGATGGCTCTGAAAACAAACATATTAAAAAGGTAATTTACAATTTTTTGAAATTACGAGTAGTTTTTACGTAGCTTTGAAGTTGGCTTTTGAAGCCAAAGCTGTAAAGGTGGATGCTCACCTGGAGGTTCATGAGGTGTGCAGTGAGAGGCTCCGACTCATCCACCTTGATGCCACGTCCGGGGAATGAAGCGACGTCCCCCGCCAATACAGCACGTGCAAGCGCCGGGTCACGGACCAACAGTGCGGGAGAGCGCATGCGCCAGAAGCCCACCAATCGCTCGTCCGGGAAGCGCTCGTACAGCGCTCGCAGCCACTCGTCCTAACGCATACACACAAAAGGTACAGAGTGCGCACGGCGCTACGCCAAACCACCTGTTCGTTTCCCGTGAGGTCGTTCGGCTCTGCTTCGTACCGAGCCCTCCATTGTGGCCATACATCCACCCACGCACGTGAATAACCAAAATAGCCGCAGTCGGCATCCTTGTAATGGGCCGCGGAACTTCGACCAGTACCCATGCCTAACGCTTCAATTGCCGAGCCTTGTAATACGTATATATAGTGTAGTCTGTAATTGTATAGAAACACTGTTTCTATACAGAAGTATTTTTCTTAGTACTTCAAAGTAAATTGACACATTTCTGTTGTCCGCGTAGCTTTTGACAAACGCTACCTCCACAAAGTGTCCATTCCCAACTCTCACATCCTGGATGCGAATGGTTCCATACCATGGTGGTTCGGAAGAGAAGCACGTCGCCCACGGAGCCAAAGAGCAGGCTGGGCGCCTCGTGAGCCACCCCGCGCTCGCGCCAGTGGCGCAGCGTGGCGCCAGTGCGCCGCAACACCCATGTCAGCAGCGCCGCTAGCGCCCACAGAGCGAACAGCACCAACTGCAGCCGCAACATCTGCGTAATATTTTATTTTATTATTAATTTATCTTCTCATGCACTGCCAGTCTGTCAATTTTCATACAGCAGGTAAAATAATAGTTAACAAGCGGTTTGCAGCAGCAATAATACTAAACAAAATGGTTTTCCAAAAAGTAGGACGAGCACTGCTCAAGAACAACGAATAAAATATTATCGTAAAATACTGAAATGGATTAAATATTTTAACAAAAATATTTTGGTTCCTTCATTTTTATTAATATATTTATTGCAGTAATTACGAATACTGGAAATACACACATACACATACATACATACATGTATATATACTTACATAATACACAATATGTATGTATTGAAACGTTTTCATGTATTATGTGCTTGGTGACGCGGCAGTCAGTCGGAGCATGGACTATTGGTTTATATTTTAAAGCTTCACACTTACCACACTTAACAACACAAATAATTAGTAAGTAAATAATAGTAATTATAAATGAATTTAATTTATTCCCAAAATATCACTAGGAGATTCAATAGGCATCGTAGAGACATATTTAACTTCCTTAATAAAAGTCTAATGCTACTGAGAAAGGTAATCGAGAAAACAGCACACTCACGTTTTGTCTCAAATTAATTTAAATGAATGAAAGCTTGGAAATTGTACGATTTAAATAGATGATTGCTATTAACTTTACGTGAAACAGAATGGTGCAGATGCTCATAGCGAGACAACTCACTGCCGAATGTACAGTCACATTTTAAGAAAACACAGAGCTGCGCGAATGCACAACTAGACGACTGAATGTCGAAAAACCTCTAATAACTGGAAAACTGCAATTATGCATGCGCTTTGCAAACCGAATAAAGATCCACCCCTTCGCAACAGCTATAGACCAACGATCAATAATCTTCGAAAAATTAAATCTGATTAGGCGCAATAAATATTTAATGAAAGTTAAAGCAATACCAGATGTTCAGTTTGGTTTCCGAAACAGTCATTCCACAACTCATCAATTGCTCAAATTCCCTGTAAACATTGCCAATTATTTTCACAAAAACATGTCCAAGTAATATTGTTAGATGTGGAATAGGCATTTGATAAAATTTGGCATATTGATTTACTGTAATTTCCAATTTTCTTGAAAATATATTCAGCCTTTTCTAGCCAATTTTCAACACACAGTGGAGTTCCTCAGGAATCTTGTTTATTTCCTCTGATTTTTGGTATCTATATATCAGTTATTCCACATTTCCAAAGTTCGGAATTGGCTCTATTCGCGGATGATACAGCAATGCAATTCTAACAAAAACCTCGAGTGCGCATATGATTATATTCAAAATGATCAAAGACTTCTGTGAAATGAACTGAAATTTACCTTTCTTTGAACAATTAACATGTCTCTAAATTAAATAACAAAGTATTAGCTTAAACATTTTATATATTCATTATTAAATAACAAGTATTATCATATCTACCTAACCTTACACATCTGGATGAAGCAGTGAATGTTAAATAATTTTCCTTTATTTTATCTAAAAGAAATGTTAAAATTACTTAAAAGGAGTAATGCCGAGTAGTTAGGCATATAATAAAAAAATAATATTTTGTAACGTCATTGTGATAGTGATTGTGATTGCTTTTAAAGCTTCATTATGTGCAACTGTTCACAGGTACTAGATAATGTCTAGTACAAAACATTTAAACCGGTAGGTAGTGGTGTAAAAAAATATAATTGCAGGGAAACTCTCGAAATATTAAAGATAATAAAGAAATATAAGATACAAATAATAAAGAGATACAAACGCGTTTAATTTTACCTACAAAAAAATTAAAACAAACACAACAAAATACAACTTTTCAGTGCCAAAAAACGGAAACTTGGCGGCAAGAATCTTCTTAACTCTCCTGACAGGCCTGGAATGCTAGTATCCTTTAGCAGGTACCTGACAAACTAACATTAAATGAAAATACAAGACAGCACTGACAAGTTCTAACATTTCTAGTGCACTTTCCCTTCTTGATTACGTGTATCCATAATTTTCTTAAGAAAAGTGGTTCAGTGCATCAACAGATTTGACTGCATGCCTCTGAGTGGGAGGTCCTAGGTTCGAGCTTTAACAGTGGCAAGATTTTCGACACTAATTTGTCAACTAAATCGAATTTAGTCGCTGTCTGGAGGAGAATTCTAGAGGTCGGCTTCTCTGATCGGTAGTTTTCCGTGATTGCTCCGATCAACACCATGCGACAGGCAGGCCGACCCTAACTTACGGGCCACGGATCGTGCGCGATCTTTCCTTCCTCTTCTTGGCCTATCCTCGCCACTTACAAAACAAACAAGCCCTACACTACCACACATGCCCGGAGACCGATCGGGAGATTAGAGATTGTCAGGGCTGGGGCGGTGCTCCGCTGGTAAGAAGGAGAAACCCCGCTAGCGACGGCGCTGGATATCTGCCACCTTCCAAGGCAATATACGCAATGCACTTATAGGACTAATGACCTCATTGGTTGACTAACAACCAACGAAGCAACCTAAAAAGCAATTTGTTTTTGAATTGCTCACAATATTCAAAAGCAAGGGCGTTTCGCGCGCTTGAGAATGCAGACAATTGCAATCCCATTCAATTACGTTTAATTTCCCTCTGGATGAACCCAGTCAGTGACATACCGCGGCGTCAGGCGAAGGCGAAGGCGAAGGCGCAGGCGCTGGCTGTCGAGTCATGGCGTGGTGTTCCAGGGGCCGGCGCGCTGACACTGCACCTTCGCTGCCTCTCTGTCCCAATGTACTTTCTCTCCTGGTAGAAAGAGCACTTTCACCAGCACCTTTCTTCTTCCCCAGGCTTCAGATACAGAAAACGGAAGAGAGTCGTGTTAAAATACATAATAACTAATGGTGCAACAGAATGGCACAGACCATCTCGTACTAGTTAGTTTCCTTATCTCTTTAGTCTGGGCTACCTTTTCGACCTTGCCCCACCCTCTTTACCGCTTCAACCTAGTGACATTTTAGAGATTTTTTTTCACATTTTATAAATTTTGAATTCAGAAAAAGGATTTGTGAGAAGTTCAATATCGCTATTCGAGGCCTTAAAACCACAATACCTCTTATTGTTTGTTGATTCCATTCCCTTCGTCTTGCGTGTTTGCGCTGCTCCATACGAAGGCCGGAAAGCGTAAGGCATTGCGTCTTGCCTCTGTGTCATGCGCTTCGGAGCCGCTGGCAGTTTCGAGTTCAACAACCCTGCACTCTCCCGAAGCCATTTCCCCTGCCGCTAAGTGATGTTCATCGTCTACCATTCGAAGGCAGGAAGGCGAAAGACTGATTTGTGGTTCCGGGCGCGTCAACTGCACGAAGGCCATTCGTGCCGTAGGTGTAGGGGCATGATTTCATCGCGAGGGGTGGCGGTGATCTTCCCCTGCTGCACGGCGAGATCCGGCGCCGACCCACGTCGGCTTGCGGGAATTTTTCCCAACTAGGTATCTCCCACCAGCGGGGCACCGCCACAGCGAGGACAAGCTCTAAGCTCCAGCCACCAGTCGGGAGCACTGACATCGCTTGATGTCCTGAGCCGTATTTGCTGGCACGGAAAGCGAAAGAAATATCGCCTCTTTTTAATATCTCTCACGTTGTTTGTATTAATTACGGTGATTTTTACATTGTTGAATTTGTGAATACAAGTGCTTCAAATGGTTTTCATGAAGTTTCTCAAAAAAGGTTTTTTACGAAATGAGCTCAAAATTGCGCCTTTTCAGAAACGCTAAAACGACATTTTCTCCAAAACAGATTCAAATTTTTCAACGAGAAAGCTTTTACTCTTGTATAATATTTTTAAAGTCATTACTCAACTACAATATTAAGCATTCGAAAAATTCAGAAAACGGGGATAGATAAAATACACGAAAATCCAGGAATATAACAGCATAATTGTGCAAGGACAGTGAGAGAAGTTTCACTGAGTTGAAATCAAATAATATAATCTTGGTTATTCTAATATGCAAAAATTAGAACAAGAAAATATTATTGTGATATATATTACGATCGATTCTATTTTATTCGTATTATGCTCTATGTCAATTCATAAAATTGTAAAATATCGATCAACTGAAAGCGAGAAGACGTATTTAAGATGTTTTAAAATTATTTTCAAATGAAAGAACAAATTCTTAAGAGCCGTGATTTTCTACTTTCTACTACTACTCTCTACTTTCAATCTTTAAAGTTATATCGAATACGAGAGGCTTTCTCCTCTCAGAAATTGGATATCAATTGCAAGGGGAACAAACCTGTAGTATTACACATCGTCAAAAGGTGGTGACATATGATTCACATAAAGAATATATAGGGAATATGGTTCACATAAAGGATCATTAGCCCAAGTATGTGTTTTAAGCTTCGGTCATCTCAGTACCCTAGTAGTTGAGGTGGCTTGATATAAACAAGGAAGCCCAGGTTCAATTCCCGAGACGACTAATTTTTGAACAATTTACTGCGTGAAGATAGTAGTTTTTGAAACCTTGTGGAAAGTTGACGCTAGAACGAGAGACCCCGAGGCTGGGAACTGCTTTCTTCCACTGCAAGAAGTGCCTTCCGGTGGCGTGACCGAAGTTTGAACCAGGCACCTGGAGACGGAAAATGCGCCAGGCCGCTGCACTGCATGTGCACCGTTTGCGCAACTCGTTTCACTCCTCCTCTAACTATCTTTTCATATGCCTCCCATCATTGTCCGATTTGCCAATTTATTTCCTTTAGGCTACTGGCAGAGTGTTTCGTTGATTCATATTTCCGGGCGCGTGATCTGCTAAGGTAAGTACTTCTTTTAGTGTAGTGTATGTTTATATGTGTATCAGAGTAGCTGATCGCTAGTGTTGTCCTCCTGACAATGGCTGAATTCCATCTAGTTCTCTAAGTAGTAACGAAAATCGGCACATTTGAGGCTTGAACCTAATCTTGTCGGTCACAAGTGCTGCAGAGACAACGGTAATGCTTCCTCTGAGCCAAATAAGCCGGTAGCAGATTATTTGATTTGTAGTTTTCTTGTACTAGAATAATGGTTTAATGGATGACTAGCGTCAATGAGGGACCTTGTTATTATTTAAGAAATGTATCATGAGTGATTCAAATTGTTTCCAACATTGTTTCCTACGCCTGAAGTCTAATGTTTGGAACTCATGATCTAACTATTTGTTACACCAGTCGTATTGTTTGTTATTTGATAGCTAATTATAATGTTGAAAAATACCAACTTGAAATATTTTCCTTGCTTTATTCAGGACATTTCAATATCTCACCAACATCTCAGATATCGTAAAATATATTTCAATAAAATAGTCTCCCACTGGTGCAGTTCTATTGAGATTTTATTTACAAGGTTTGCGGGATGATTCCATTACGAAACATCATGAAATGAGGCACGTGGTCCGAACATGGCGGAACACGATTTTTTCCGAGATGTGCTTTATTGCAAAACTTTTTTCTGCAGTACCAGGATTATTCATAATTCATGCAAACAATGTTCAATAATACAAATTAGTTGCATCGTATTCCACTTAATCACACTTTATTTCAGTATGTATAAAACATGTTATGAACAACCATCATATAATACTATTACATTGAAATTTGTCTAGCATACAATATATAGGCAATTTTCTTTATCTAATACTGAAATTCTATCCTCTATTAATTATTTTACACAGCATTTTAAAAGGTACTTGGGTACTTGGTCTTACTCAGAAATTGTAAATTGATGCTTTTGAAACCACATCACGAGTGGGCATTTGAAAATTCATTATTCAATTGAAACATCTTGTCTGATTGCTTTGAAAATTTATCTAGCTCCCAATTTTTGCATTTCTTGTTATGCCCTTTTTCGTTTCATTGTCCCTACAGCCAGATATGGTGACTGAATATTTTTGGCGTGTACATTTACATTTATGTTTAAATTCATATAAAAATTGTTGGTAAAATACTTTTTAAAAATTAGAAATGTAATTAATATTACCACGCTATCATTTTTAATTTACAAGCTCAAAAGTTTGTAAATCAGTGCACATTGGCTCGTGTTGTGGTAGGAATGTCGCGTCTAAAAAAGCTAGTATTGAATTGAAAAAATGGGTAAATGTTAGTGTTCACACAGGATGGGTTTAATAAACTAAAAGTAAGAAGTGTAATCTTAAAAATAGAATGCTTTGGTGCAAACCTTTATTGGTAACATTGCAATGTGTTGAGATTAACTGTCAAATTAGGAGAAATTGATATAGTAAAAATACAACAAATATCAAATCTCGGAACCCCTTTTTCAAATTGTCAACTCACGTTACATTTCCAGTCGTTCGGACTAGTAAAATAATTCGGTATTCGGACTAGTAGAATAATTGAGTTAGAATTGAACTATTTATTGCTTTACACTACTCATTCTTATATACTAGTAAGCAAATCTTGTTCTCCTAACGCCAAACAAAATATTAATTTGGAAGTACATATAACAACATGGAATACAATCATACACAAGAGGTCAGAAGCACCTTATTTTCAACAGGTTATTTTAAATGAGAATGCAGAAAAAGGATAGACGAAAGCATAATATGCAGTCAAATGTAAAGGAAGATAAATTACCTGCAATACTGAAAATTACCATATGTAGTTGAGAGTAGGTATTATCTTATAAAATTTTTCTGGTGATAAAATATTGTTGACATAGATAGCTCAGATATTGGCTGGTAATGACAATGATTACGTAAACATGAAGTATTAATATAAAAACGTAATAACTTGGTGGTAATTTCGAATCTGAGATAGTACAGACACTAGTAGGTAATAATACTGGTGGCTACTGTTATATGTGTTAATATAACCACTTTGTAATAACTTAGCCTTGGAAAAGTATTTTTGAGACAAACATCTTCGAAAAGTTAAATGTTTGAAAAAAATCTTTAAAAAAAAATTACCAAGGAAAGTGAGATTTAGAACGAACATTAGGAAAAATAGGTAATGATATATCAATTCTGAACCACGCAGGAATATTGGTTCCGGAAATCCTAAGTACTGCAAGCGAGCACAACGAGAATTAAAACCTATAAAGTGAAGCGGAACTACCTCCGCTGCTTGTACCCTGAAGCTTCCGAGGGCTTAACCGCGTGGCGCAGTCAGGTGGCGCAGTGCGCAGAGGGGCGCAACGGCACAAAGCGCAGCCACACGGGCTGCGACAGGCGCAGACCGAAGGCGCGCGGGTCGAACTGCAGCGCCCGCGGGGTTTCTGCGCACGTCTGCACCTCGAAGTCCAGCAGGATGCGCGCCAGCACCATCTTCATCTGCAGCAACGCGAAGCGCTCGCCTGGGGGAAGGACAAAATGATCGATGTTTCACAATAGAACGTACTAAAGGAACCCGGCAGACGTTGTTCTGCACTTCGTCTCCCTCTTTCTCCTTCCTTCTGCCTTTCACTCTCCGTCTCTCTCTGTCTCAGTCTGTCTCTGCCTCTGTGCGTTTCTCTGTCTCTGTCCCTCCTTTCCTCCGTCTCTGTTTCTCTCCGACTCTCTGTGTCGCTCTGCAACAATGAAGGTAAGGTGGAGTGCAGTTTGATTGGAAATTGAATTAAAATGAAGCGCAATTTTATTCTGCAGCGCCATCAAGTAGAGATACAACAATTTAAGAGAATATAATCATTATGGATGAAAAAACTCGTATATGTGCCAACTTTCATGAAGATCGGTGACACGGTATATAAATGTGTGTGTGTATATATATATATATATATATATATATATATATATATATATATATATATATATATATATACTACCAGTCTTGTGATAGTAATTTACATTACAAGACAATAATAATCATAACTAAACAAGAAAGTTCTCGGACGAGGCCGATAGTTCGAGATTAGGAACCCGTCTGGTCATGGGAAGTCATTATTGCTGCGTGATGCATAATATTTTAATCGAGATCTCAGTTTTTTTCACAATTTGTCTCTGTGATTGACAAATGTAATTGATAAATAGAATATGGCTCGTATTTTTCCATTCAGGAATTGGTATGTATTTTGTTTTCTAATTATTGACTGTCAATTGAATGTGGATTGAGAACAATATTGCGCGGTATTTGCAAGGGCGTAAAACGATTTATTTATCATTTTATAAGAAATTTAACTAGACAATTGGAACAAGCTTCTGCATTTACTTTAGATTTATTGTCAAGAACAATGGTATGAAATTGATTATAATATTTTTTGCAAATGGAGAAATTGGATAGTATGCATTACAAAGGAAACGCGCTCCTAACGAATTTTTAAGAAATTAATGAAAAATAGAAGTTGTGTACTATGTGCACGCTGTATTCCATGATGAAAACCATTAACGGAACAATAACCAAAACCTTTAAAGAAAATATAGACATCAGCACTTGCGTTTTCAAGAAAAACTTGAGATAGTAGTTTCGTAAAGGAGTGTAGTTACTTAAATGATTTTGGTGTTTAAGTGCTCGACAATGGTACCTTTGAATACGTTTCTGTACCTAGTGTTGCGTACATAGTACCTTTCAATACGTTGCTGTTGGCAAGAGTACGAAAAATACTTTTAATACTAGTATGCAAAGTATTTTCAGTATGTTTCTAGTCTGTTGTTGAAAAAAGCTAAACTTGTATCTCCGAATGTTGTGGAAGGATGCGTCAGTTTCTAGACGATCCCTAATAAAAAAAATACTATACTTAAAGCTAAATTCAACAAATATTTCAACCACCTTCTTGTTTAAACTTGTTAATATTTCAACCACCTCCATAATAAATTTCTTGACAGACACATAATGGCCTATTTCACAGGAAAATAAAATAGTTTGCAACGACTATACTCAGTAATTACTTTTGTTAATAATATAGCCCATTTATTTCATGTTCGACAAAATTTATAGTTGAGAGAGCAATGCCCTGGTACACTTTGGAATACTCAACCACCTGTCATCTTAACTGGACACTCCCCTCCCAAACCAAACTTATCTGACTTTTGCTAATTCTTTAAAATGTAAACTTGAAATTTCAGACTTAGTCGTGAAACAATTGGTAAGACCACCACTTCCTGGTCAAATGAGAATAGCAAGAATCGCCACTCAACCCAGGTGAGAGAATTTGCCCAGTCCCCTCACCTATGCAGAATCGCGGGCCGGCGCCGAAGGGCATGTAGGTGTAGGGCTTGATGAGGCCCTTCTCCCCCGGAGAGAAGCGCTCGGGTCGGAAGAGCTCCGGCTCCGGGAAGTACAGCGGGTCGTGGTGCATCGCGAAGATGCTGACGAACACCATGGTGCCCGCCTGCAGCTCCACGTCGCTGTCGGGGAAGCGGTACTTCTTCGTGCACTCACGGAACAGCTGGCCCGTCACAGGATACATGCGCAGAGTCTCTGTGGCAAAGCACGACGCTGGATTATTACCAGAGCTTAATTTCCCATGCCGAAGCAAACACTTTAAAAATAAGATACATTTAAATATTTATTTTCCACAGGATTAATTTATTACACAAAAGGAAGTCGTATAGCATTACCACACCTAATAGTATATAGCATATAATATAAGAATAACGAACGCAGAATATATATCTAATATAAGAATACGAATAAAGAATGCAGCGCAACATATAACAAGAGATGCACAATTCATGCAGATTGTTAGAGAGAATAGAAGAAGTGCACATTTTTTATAAGCAGTGCAGATTCATAGCTTTCTTTCTTATTTTGCTACACTTTTATTAGAGAAGCTGTTGTTAGTTCACATAAAATTTGAGTTCCTGCATTCGACATTATAGTCCTGCTTTTCTCTAGACTTAAATATCCTCCATAGTAATTTTTTCACTGGTTTTCGTACAACGTTATCGAATGATACGACCAGCCTAACAAACGAGGCGTGTCAAATGATTAATTGCTTCACTGAAACGGTGGTCTAGAAGTGTGGAAACCGAGAGTGACATATGTAGGAATAAAAGTGTATATGAAAGATTAAGTAAGCATCTACATTCTCAACATAATTCTAACACAACGTTAGGATTGCGATGTAAAAAAAGCAATCAATTTGCGTTTTGTGCATACAGATTTGAGCAGAGTTGAGTCGTCCTCTAGACATACTCTCTTAGGCACAAATTGGATCATATATATCAGATCATACGTAAAAAAATAAATAAGAAAGAAATTGAAAACAATTTCCTCTAGGAAAGCTAAACATGTTTGTGGTTTTCGAAAAAGTAAACATTACGTCGCAATGAATATTTCGTACCAACCTTCCCCCCAGAGCTGAGAAGCAAGTTGACTCACCCGCCATGACCATGTCTATGTACGTCATCTCCTGCAGTGCATCGTAGGTGAGGTCGTCGTCGCCGCCCCCGTCCCCGTCCCCGTCCCCGCCAGCCGCCTCCCGCGCCGCCCGGACGCCGCGCCGGATGTCGTCCCTGGCCTTGCGCTGCAGGTCGGGCCGCTTGGCCAGCTCGTACAGGCAGAAGGTGGCCGTGCTGGACGGCGAGTCGAAGCCCGCCAGGAAGAACACGAACGCTTGGGCGGCCAATATGGAGTCTGGTATATCTGTGGTGTGGAATACATCACTTGTGCATGCGTGTAATGTACAGAAATGTTTATATTTGTTTTTCGATTTCTATAATCGAAATCTATTATTATAGATTTAGTAGCCTGTATGTCCTGCAAAAACGTTTCAATCGACAGTATGATTTTCATGAAATGTTCTGCACCATTACATCGTAATTTGGTATAGTTCAACACGATACTTTTATTTAGAAATCCATCCATGGTTTTACAAAATTTGGTTCAATTCAATCTGCTACACAATCGATATTACGGGGCAGCGAAATGTGTTCGGAGGATGCAGGTAGGAGTTCATGGTCGAGGCCAGGGTGTGCAGTGAGGGGAGCAGAGAAAGACGGGAGGATCTTGTCTTTTGTTTGTATATTGACGCTAAAAATAGAAAAGTGTGGAGAAGCGAAATTGCTGAAAATGAATCCTCGGGTTGATTATTGAAGAATCCCAAATTCCATATTACCAACTAGGGTATTTGTATGATCTAGGCTATTCACGTCGAGTGCCGTCTCTGTCGTGCTGGCTGACGTTCTGGCCAACTTATTCGGGTCTCAGTTCAGTTATACTGCTGAACTACGTATAGCTACACTGTAGCAATTTATCTCTGAAGAAGTCCACAATATGTTGGCCGAAAAATAAGCCACCACGATATAGACGTGCTCCACTTGGTTAGTGTGGATCATATCAACTAAGCAGCGGAAGCCTTCACAATCAGGGAGGGTATTTACTTACCAACATCCTGAATCATGAAGTCTCCGTTTTTCGGCTTCTTAGATTTGGCATCATCTTGGATTTCACCCTCCTTTCTGGCAACCTGTAGAGGAAAAGTGGAATATTTCTTTCAAATAATTTGAAATACGATTGCGGAATTATTGAAATAATTACTTCTTCAATTATCATGCGTAATTCAGTACTGCAGATCACCACAGAGATGATTAGTCGTCTAGTCATGCATCGAAATTTCCAACGTCGTATTATTTTAACATTCCTGCCTTGCTTTGCCCTTCCACGAAGTCCTGCAATCATGGTACAAGATCTTGCATAGAAAATGGCCACGATTGCTGTAGAACATTGAAGATGAAGACGAAGAAGAAGAAGATTCTTGTACGTCAGGGAGATGTCACATCCTAAAAAGTTTCCAACGTTTCGGCCGTTGTGCTGGGACCCTCCTCAGAGCGAAATGCGCAGAGGTGTGCACAGGTTTAAAAAGAGTAAGATTTCCCTCCAACTGGTTGCTGATACGCGGGACGACTTAAAATAACAATGAATCAGGCAACAAGCCCCCAATTCCGGGAGGAAAATGGGGATCGCCCGTAACTGAACTTAAGGGAGCAGCGGAAACCCCGACTTGACCGGGCGTCAGTAACAAATAGATACTTTCAGCCTACCCACCCCGCCTGTTGGATGATTTTCGCCGCTTCTTTTATCCTTCTCGGTCCCCAGCGGTCTTTCGTGGGCAGGGGAAAGGTGTTGTCAAAAATAATGGCGTAGTCTGTTGTCCATGTGTGAAGGGCTACGACCAATTTGTTTGCATTAATTTCTTGTGATGATGAAAATGTTGCCGAAAGCGTTAATTAACGTTTCACCTCGTCTCACCCCTGATGTCAGAAGAGGGGCGACGCGATCTTTAACGCGTACGTACTAGCTTAGAGTTTTTAATGGTCTTTGTAGCACGCCTTAATATCTAAGCGGTTCAGAAACTCAATAATTTTGTTTGTGACCATTGGAATTCATTACAAAATGGCGATATTGCGCATAGCATCGGCATTGGATGTAGTGATGTCGTCCACAGTGGTAGATATAGACTAATAGGCTTTCAACGTCAATTCTGATTAGTTACCGGGTGATGGTGATGCCGGCCGCAGGTGACGCCTGCGCAGTGTACTTCCTCGCATTGAGGAAGGTCTCAGTATTACATCCGAATTGTATCTGGGAGGTTGGCAACGGTGACAACAGGTCACAACAATTGATATATAATTACCTTTGCTTTTCGCATGTCCTTCCGGATTTCGAGCAGCAGCTGCATGAAGTCCGCGCGCGGCGGCCCGTCCCGCTCCTCGCGCTCGCGGCGGTCCAGCTCGGCCACGACGGCGCCGCAGAAGAAGGCGGTGAGCTGCGGCGGGAACTGGCGCACGCTGAACAGGCGCGCCACGCGCGGCGCCAGCAGGCGCAGCGCACGCCGCAGCGCCATCCCCACGCTGATGCCCGTCACGCGGCGGCCCAGGGCGTGGAAGCGCGACGCGGGGTCGCCCAGCGCCGCGAGCTGCAGCCCGTACACGCACGTGCCGATCACGTCCGTCGTGTACCTTCGCACAACACACTAGCTGCAGCCCGTACACGCACGTGCCGATCACGTCCGTCGTGTACCTGCGCACAGCACACTATTTCTATTATACTGTGAATAAAGTGTGTATCACAAGGTTTCTGAATCATTAATCAATGAACTGGCGGTTTTGTAGATGAGTGACTTTCATTATGCTTGAATGAGTGTTTATTTGCATGAAAAATTAATTAATTAAATAATTGCATTAAAATTCACTATTTAACATATTCAACTCGTGTATTTTTTTCTATTTTTAAAGAAACAAACTTCTTATTCTCTTTCTGGTAGGAGACCGACGTACAGTTTCCGACTCCACCGGTAGGAGACGTACAGGCATGTGATATACGCAAGGGCGAGTGAAGTCCACAAATTAGAGGTTCTTCGTGGTGGCCCAGTAATTCAATACTACTTGCTGTTACCAGGCCTTTTGAAGAGCAGAACGATTCCATCTCAAAAATCAGTGAATATGGAAAACTTTCTTCATTTGCTTAAAAATGGGTTTTGAAAATCCGAAATTAAAAACCGTATAAACCTCAGTAAGCACTGATACGCTTCGCGGACGGTAATTACTGTTTACATGTTCAAACATGCAACGTTGCACGAGATACGTTAAATATAAGAGAATTATTTACCTCTTTGTATGTGTAATTCAAATATTTATAAAATCTTTTGTTTTTCTTCTTGTTCACAATGCATAGTTCATAATCTAGAAGTTTGTGATATTTTTATACTTAATTTTAGTGAATCAGCGTGTCTTGAAAGACAACTAGCTTAGGTAGGGAAATCCCATTGAACGCGTAACTTAACGTCCGTTGAAACTTGAGGTTCCAAGATTGCGAAGTGCGAAGAAGGGTGCATACTCACCGGTGAGGTCGCCGCTGTATGAAGTAGAATTCTTTGAGGATATTCCTGCTCAAAACGTCACCAGCGTAGCACAGTAGAGCCGGCAATCGCGATCATACAAGTTATGATGATAATGCGGCCAGTGAAATTTATTTAATTATTTATTACCTATTATTGTTTTCATTACCAAACGAAATGGCTCAGGCCATAGCGCGCTGGATTCGCAATCGGCAGGCCTGGGTTCACGAGCGGGCAGGCCATCCTACCCGCGGTTTTCGTGGTTTCCTTCGGTCATCTAGGCGAATGCTGGGATGGTTCTATTAAGAGGCTACGTCTCGGGAACCGGCGTCGCTATTCGAATTTGTTAACTACGTGTAGACACGAAGGTTGAGCGAAATAGAGACATTGCGGCATTCCTGGTTGTGTGACCGACTAGGAACCCCGGAATCGAATGGTGCCGAGGGTAATTGCTCTTTAGGGCACACATAAAGGCTAAATAAATACAAATTATTCTTGGCAACCAAGTTCGCATGCGCAATAGACGTGAGGTGTGTTACGAAACACAGTAACCGGCATTGACTGACTCTCGACTCGAAGAGCTGCCCTGAACGCAAAGGCGCACCTGGTCATGACCTCTCCTGTGTCGGTGGGCCGTTCGGCGGTGGCGGAGATGTGGCGCGACGCGTGGGAGGCGACGCGCCGAAGCGTCGGCACCATGGCGCGCAGACGGCCCGAGCTGGTGAACGGAGACAAACGCGTGCGCAGACAGCGCCAGCGGGGACCCTGCGCACAAATCACCCCACATCACTTCACTAAGCAATTTTATCTACTAGATATTTACAAGATGTTTCAGAGAATATGTTGAAGTGGTTTTGAAGTTATCCCAACGTTGCACCTACAAGATAATGTTAATGTTGTTCGGACGCTACTGGTGCTGTTTTTTCTGAGTTGGTCATCTTGAAGCCCTAATGCAGAAAGTAAAGGTGCTGACTCACCTGGATGTTGATAAGGTGAACAACGGAAGGGTCCGACTCATCGACCTTGACGCCGCGCCCGGGAAACGAAGCGAAGTCCCCCATCAGCACCGCGCGAGCTAGGGCCGGGTCGCGCACCAACAGAGCGGGAGAGCGCATTTGCCAGAAGCCCACCAATCGCTCGCCCGGGAAGCGCTCGTACAGCGCTCGCAGCCACTCGTCCTAACGCATATACACAAAACGTACAGAGTGCGCACGGCAGAGGAGAAGAGCACATACGCTAGAAGACCTCCAATCGCTCGCCCGGGAAGCGCTCGTAAGGCAAAAATCTCTACCTTCAATTTTGTAGTTTTCAAATGTCAACTATTTGCAATGTAGTTGAAATAAAGTTGACTCTCCCTCTATTTCATGTCGCTTACACCTATTTATCTGTACACTCCGTGTAAACTCGTACAATAATTGAAAAGCAAATAAAAGACAATTATTGTCTTTTGAAATTTACGAATACCAGCTTAGTTTGCTCATAGTATCAATTGGTGCCACTGCAGTGCCTCTGACCGGAAGGTCCCAGGATGCGAGCCCCCATGGTGGCAAGATCGTCGAGCTACAGAGCAAGGTCGAATTCAGCTTCTGTCTGGTGCAGCATTCTTCCTGCCGGCTGCTGGAATGGTAGTTTTCCATGGTTTCCGCCCAATGCTGGAGCATAATTCTCAAAATGGAGCCACGGACGGGTCACGGGCCGCGCGCGATCTTTCCTTTCTCTTCCTTGACCTTTACTCATCCCTTACTTTTACAGCCTTACAAGCACTTCACCACGACTCTTGCCGGAAGACCAGTCGGGAGCTTACAGCTTGTCTTGGTTGGGTGCCCCGTTAGTGGGAGATGCATGGTTAGTTAAGTACCTTAGCAATTGTCGCGCCTGATCACTGGTCAGTCAATCAATCAATCAATCAAATTTACAAAATGGTAATTTCATAACTATCAGGGAAAAGATTTCACGGAGAAATACGTCGAAGAATACAAAAGGAGTGCGTGGCAGTTGTCTTTTAGAATCTTACAAAACGGTAATTCTGTCATCAGTGCTTAGATTTCACGAAGAAATCTGTGTCTCACCATGGTGATCCGGAAGAGCAGCACGTCGCACAATGAGCCGAAGAGCAGGTGGGGTGGCTCATGGGCCACGCCTTGGTCGAGCCAGTGGCGCCGCGTAGCTGCCGAACGCCGAGCCACCGCCGTCAGCAGCGCTGCCAGCACCCACAGCACGAACAGCACCGCCAGCACCTGCAGCATCTGCGACGAATATAAATCGCCCTGCGTAAGAACTCAAGCAATAATCACTGATTTGTACTATTGATTTAATCAAAAACTTAGATTGTTTTAGCTAGTAGATTGAAGATAAATCCCTCCCTCTAGCTGCTTGAACCGCAAGGCTGGCTTAACTATTCTCTGATACAACAGTGTTTTCATGAATAAGACCACCGGCTGCACATTGCACTCGGTACATCATTCGATTTTGAAAATAATTTTCACTACTCCCAATGTTGCTACATTCAATATGCTTAGAGATTTATACATTTTTTGTTATGTTATGTAAAATGTAAATATTACATTGCAAATGTAAATATTACATTGTAGAAATATATTTGAGAAACACACTGTTTAGATGCTTTACTCTTAGGGCAACGTCTCTTTTTTTTATTATTAATTTTTCATGTGAACACGTTTTTAAATGAATCTCTTTCAGTTGCAACGAAGTTGTTGCAAATAATTTTATTCTTTGAATGACTTCCATAAGTACACCTTTCAGAAGTCTTGGACGTCATTGCTGTAGTCGTATTTTTTTTTCTGTCACATAAAAGAGCAACATTACGGCGCTTATTTAGCAGTAGGTCAGATGTGAATGAAGTAGGTTCATTGCTGTGCGAAAATGTCCGCTGGCATCTCGATTGCAAGAAATATTTCACAACAAATGGAAGAGTAGGAATCTCACATTTGGCTAATTGTTATTATTAACCTTTATTAGTTAAAACCCTAATAATTAACGTTGGTATACAAAAAATAGTGCATGAAACGCATTTACAATGTTGCTTTACGAACTACTTGCGTAAATTACTATTATATTATCCTACTCAGGCACGGCGGATAATGTGGGTATGGAGGGTAGCTGTACTCATAAGAAAAATTCCGAGTGGGTAAAATATCCACTCGAAATGGGGGGTGAAAGAAAAATCCCCTAAACGTCAAATTCTAGAAATGAACGAAGTTTCCCGGTATTGCATGTACTCAAAACGTTAACGCGATCAACTATGTTACAAGATCGGTTCAACAGTATTGCGATTTTACAAGTTTATAGCGACATGACCGACAAAATCCATTTGCAAAAATTGTTAATTGAGTTTTTATCAAAAAAACAAAGCACCGCGCTGTTTTTGCGCTACAAAAAGGAACTGCTGAAGTTACATAAAGTAAATGTGATAACAATTTAATGTTAAAGGTGACAATTTGACAAAAATGTGTTTTGTAATTTTCTCTTCATGTACATTTTCGGTGGGAGATGGAAAGGAGGAGGGGGATCTCCACCCGGTCCACTACCCACTCGGAACTAACACAAATCCCCGGTCCCGATCCTATTGATTGTGTGTGTTGTTTATAGACGGACTTTTAGCAATTGAAAGTTTCAGTTTTTACCTAGGACGATCTATGCTCGTTTACAGTGAACAGATCGTTATCTCATCCTCTTCGGAAGATGCGCGCTAAATGTTACATAACAAATTAGGTAATCGAAACACACGGGCAGTGAAATAAATCCGTGATACAAATACTGTGAATGCAACATACCCAGGATAAAATCGCCACTCTTCCAGAACAAAGTTGTTTCATGAATATTCAACCATAGTATTTTCTGTATACAAATTCTTAATTTGAATTTTAAAACACATTTGGGGACCTTTGAACTTGGTTACACAAGTCAATTAATAGAAAATTGCATATAGTACACAGAATACACCACCTTCAAAATACAACATTTAATGCAAAGTTGAAACTAAAATGTAACTCCTCGAAGTGAAAAGTGACAGTTTTCGTGACAGCGAATTAACTTGCATTCACCCACGTTTCAGGGTGATCCTTTTCGATTGAGCTGAAATTCCATACCTTGAGGACCGGACGGGCGCCCGAAAGGTCTGGGGGCCGGGCGCCTAATTGCTTCCGAAGAAGGTCCTCCCGGAGGCACGCTCCCCGCTCGAATGTGCTCTCTCCACTTTTGCGATGACTTTCTCCGCAGCTTCTTAAACGGACGCCCCTAGTGATGGACCTTGTGTTCCGGGTCCTAGGAGTGGGGGGACTTTGTCCTCCTTAAGCCTCCTTTCTAAAATATTTGTTTGTGGAAGAGAGTCCAATATGCATTATGCTTCTCATGTAGCAAGAATCATGATCTAAAATCGATGTGTCAATGATGACTAACTCGCCATAAAATTGTTTTGAGGCTTCGAAAGTCAAACTAGAAAATAAAAACGAACATTTCTATTTTCTAATTTGAAATTGACACTTTCATGGATTAATACTCATATTGGATGCTTCTGCACCACTCCTTAAAGCTGCGTCTCATCGATGAGTCTTTTCGGCATAAAATTGCGTGCGTGAAGTCGAAAGACGCACGTGCAACTAGATGCACATGCACTATATCAGAGCTGTCCAACTGTCGGCCCGCGGGTCCTATGTGGCTCGCGGTGCCATTTATTGTGGCCTGCGAAAGGTTATTAGACCATTTTTTTAAGTCCCTGTCGTCCATATTGCGCGTGAACATTGCGCGCTTAGCACGCACCCTGTCGTAATCAACACTCCCTTTGATAGGAAAATAGGTTAAGTATAGATTTAAGTACTTTTCTTGACAATTCAGAAATTCAAAATCATCCCAATGTATGTAACTGCGTTCTGCATTGTATAGCTTGATATAACGCCTAGTTCCCACCCATCTTCTTGTGTCAGAGCATCACGGCAAACAGTCGATGTCAACAATGCTGGGAAGTTAGGTGTGGATCGCCTGAATAATTAAAATATGGTCCACAACCATTTTTTTAAGTTGTAGCGCTTAAGGACTTGCAAGTTGAACACCTCTGCACTATATTTTCCTCACCGTCCCTCCTTATCGTTCATTCCATCCGAAATGCTTAGGATTTGTACTGCCCTTATTCACAATCAAGCGAAAAAAATATGAGAAAAACATTGTAAGAATCAAAAAAGTAAGAAAAATTCTAGTAAGGCAGGAAGACCATTTTACTTTCAATTGTAATAGATATTATATTTTGAGCTGAAGGAACAACATACGATTCTCTTCAATTATCTAGAAGTTATACTCATTTCTAGAAACCCTATTATAGTCAAGACTGCCTTAGTTTCCTATAAAATACGTACGCCCGAAGCGCATGCTCTGCTAGCACTATTGCATGCGTTAGATGCAGAGGCCTATCTACGGCATGGCAGACACGGCACGTGCCATGGGCGCCTCTCACAAGGGGCGCTGTTTAGAGTGTCCCCGAGAAACAAATAACCATAATTTGTAATACGCTGACAGCGGCGCAAATTCTACGTTTGCCTGATCGCCCGAATACCTAGGTAAGCCTCTCGTCAGACGCACACGCGAAGTTGGACGAAGAGACGCGTCGCGTGTGGAGGCAGGTTTAGCGCGCGCCGCGTCGGCGCGGACGGACAGGACGAGGTGGACGGCGGATTTTGCGTGATTAGCGCGTACTAGGACAGACCAGGATGGACATCTTGTCCCTTGTCCCCTGCTTTGTATTGGGGACGGCACCTTGATAGTGATAAGTAAACAAGCAAAATTGCTTTGTGTTAACTTTTAACATCAGAAGATGAAAATGAGACAAGGAGTCAAAGGAAGTTTATATTCTGGGTTCATTATATAAACACAACGAGAATGACAAAGTGTGCCACATTCCGACCTAGTTCAAGATGAAAATTGTTTCAGAACTTTAGATTTAGATTTATTTAGTCAAAAAACAGTAAAAACTGTATCCGACGTTTGGGGGAGATCTGCGCAGGTTTCTTGAGTTCCAGAATACCTTCCAATCATTGTAACTATACTTTTCAGAATCCCTTCCTAACATTTTAACTAGCATTTTCATTTCAACTATAAACAGTTGAAAGATGAAACTTTTTTTATAGAAAACAAAGAAAATTAATAAAAATAAAATTTAAAAAAGAGTGAGATTAGCAACATTTGAAAATCTAGACATTAGACATTTGAAAATCTAGACATATAGAAAACGTATTTGGAACGGTAAACGAACGGAGGATTTGATTTTTCTGCATTGCTAACCAAATAGTAACTCATCACCAGCTCTAACTCCTATCCCTCCAAGCAAAAGGAGGGTTCAACAAATCGTGCGCATACTGAAGCTACATTAATGTCCTGAAGTAAAACAAGGGGCTATCTCAGCATTTGCTAATGTATCATGGAAACTGGACAAAAACCTGACCAAGATGATGTGTCATTATTTGTTATAAGCATATTATGTCTTTTTTTAATTATACAATATAAATATAAACCAATTCATTATAAACCCTTCTTTTGTTAATATAAAAATTATTTTTCTTGTTGATAATCAGTATAGTATTGATAATCAGTTCTTATACGACTGGATCATCGTCGGCTCCTATTGAATCTGGGCAAGTACTATCACAACAACAAACAATCGGATCAACCCATTCAGAGACACAACAAAACAAGGTAATGCAGGGGAAGCGAAACCGCGAGGACGGAAGTGACACCAGAGACAGAGATGCCGAAGGCATGCCCTGGACAGGACTTTCTTCAGAACTGAACACCGACAATAACTTGCAAAAACACTATAACGTAGATGTGTCAAATAGATTCAGTTTTTTAAATGAAAAGTAACCTGAAGTACCAATAGAAGTAAAAAAATCCTCTAATCCATTTAACAGGAATTAGCAATCATTCGGAATTTATAAAGGAAATGAAATCTAGGTTAACAGAAAACTTTACAACTCAACTCAAAAACAATAAAAATAAATTACAATTCACGACAATATCCGACTTCAGAGCTGCAGGTAAATACTTTATAAACTCTAATAAACAATTCCATACGTACTCAAACGCCGGTGTAAAGAAATATTCAATTGTGATAAGAACATTCATCCCACAATTCTGGAAAACGAAATGTTTGAAGACATTGCATCTCAATTTCCATCAGTTACAAAGGTCACGAGTCTAAACAAGAACAATGCCCCCATCCTAGTAGTCGCACTAGAATTCTACAGCACCGAAAAAATAGAAAGTGTTTTGGAATTAAAATACATTTGCAACCCTATAATAAAGCCGGAAAAAAGAAAGAAAATTGTAGGTCCCATTCATTGATACCGTTGCCTAGACAATGGACACAGTTGAAATAACTGTAACTACGAAGTTTCATGTGTTTTCTGTGCAAAAACACCTTTCAGCAAACTGTCCATGAAAGAAGTCAAGTCCTACTTGTAAGAATTGCATGGGGAAACACAGGGCTGACCTCAGGTCAAACGAATGTACATATTATAGGAATGTAGAGAAAAATAACAGCAATAATGTAAATTCTAGTCCCAGATCCCCCCTCCCAATCACGCACGCCACCACCCTATAATGATTCAACGAACTTTTCATCCGTGCCTACAACAAACAATATTCCTAATTTCACTCAAAGAGTTAATAATCACAATCAACCAAGGAATGCAAATAATTCTTATCATCAACAATATTACAAACAGCAAACAAACAATCAATTTATCCAATACGACAACAATAACTCCTTCATTATCAACATTACACAATTCATCACTGATCACATAGTCAACTTCATCAACTCGCTAATGCCAACAATATTACAAAGAATTCAGAACTCCATCGCCTCCATTGTTAGTAAGTTATGGAAGATTCCCACCATAAAGCATTAACCATTCTCAATTGGAATGCAAATGGCATCGTAAACAAAAACCGACCTAGAACATTTTCTACAGGCTAAAAAAATTGACATCGCATGCATCACCGAGAGGTGGGCCCAAGCAAAATATTCAGCATACCAGGATTCCAAATTTTCATAGCCGACAGAAACGAAAAGTATGGAGGAGATGTATTAATTTTAAGTTTATCATTCAACACCACCAAATAACATTTCCACCCACTCCAGGTATAGAAAAAATCTGGATAAATGGCAATAACAATAATCAAACACTAACTGTAGTCATGACGTATAAACCACGCAACATAAAAATCAATACCTCTATCAATAAATTACTATAGTTGCCCAACCCTTTCATCACATCATAGCAGGAGACATGAATTCAAAGTATTTTGCATGGAGATGTCGGACTACAAACCCGGCCGGTGAATACCTAAACAGAAAACCAAACACAATGCAGCTTAAAATATTAAAGCTCATAGAACCAACCAATTTCCCATATGATTCCAATAAAAACCCAGATGTATTAGATATAGCAATAACAAATTTGAAAGACCCATTCTACTCCAGCTCATCAGGAATTACACTCAGACCATATCCCAGTTGTTATAACAACTAAACTAACGAAACATACTTGCTCTCCTCCTCTCACGCTGAATACTTTCAATACAAACTGGAATTATTTTAAAAACTGTTGGAAAATCAATACCAAAATTTCAAGTCTTAAATTGTTCAATTGAAATTAATCAAGCAAGCTCTAAATTAAAGAACATAATAATAATAAAAACAATCAACGACTCTCAAAATATAACAATATTAGTTTCAAGAAAGAAACTAAAAAACAACTACCTCCCAATATTACTGAATTAATAAAAGTTAAAAATAAAATTATTTTATTAATGTAATATTAATAATATAATAAATTAGTATTTTATTAATATAATATTAATAAAAATAAATTTTTATTAATAAATATTAATAAAAATCCTCAAACTAAAAAAATATATAAATCATCTAACAAATATCTGGAAAAGCAAACAGTAAATACAACCAAGAAAAATATAATCAATTTATTGAGAGACTAAATACTAAAAGCAATTCTCGTTTGCAATTCACAAAGAAAATTCTAAGGAAAAAGAACATTTCCCCACTGCCAACTGATTCTGAAAAAAAATTTCGCCTATGAAGAAAGCCGAGTTTCTAGCAAACCACTTTGCTAGCACATTCACTCCTAATGACTCCATAAAAATGCCAAACACGATGAATTTTTAAAGTTTCCAATCGCTCCTTTATACAACGTTCCTCAAAGAATTATATTCATCTCTCCCTAATAAGTTAAACAAATAATCAGAAAATGCCAAATAAAAAATCGCCAGGACGTGACC